CAAATGCATTTATTAATTAAACTTCAGGGTAGGCCTGCAAAGCAGCTGCTGCCGAGGCAGGAACATAAAAAGTCTATTGTCTACTTATTTTCTAATTTCTTGAAGAGAAAAATTAATGTACATCTATGTTGTTCTCATAGATCCAAGACCACCTAAGATAGACAGAGTACCCCCCAACCTCTTCCCAGCCTTAATTTTTTTTTTTTTTTAGCATACTAAGCAAGTCTGGATTCTGCTATCTTTAGCCATGCGCACAGTGGAATTCAGCCTCAAACTGCCAAGGAGCTTTAACAAATAGTGTTCACTGAATGCAAATGCTGCAATTTTTATAGTTTTATTTTTTTACGCAAAGAAATTGAGGAGGTTTCAATCTCAATCCTTCAATCTCAATCCTTCTATCTCTCTCTACTCTCTTTCTCTCTCCTGCCTTCTCTACAAAATATTTGATATGGCAATTCTGCCTCATCTGAAGTAACCATATCCATTCTCCAACCTGAATCCCCCCCCTCTACAGTTAGAATATAAGCAAACAGTTAGAGGTGGCTAAAGGACTTAGGCAGTATAAGGTAGAGAGAGAAGTCTCGGCCCAGATTACTGTTTACAAGGGCTGGATTCTGACAGTTGCTGTCTCTGCTTTTCTGGAGAACAACATACGTGGGGCCCAGCTGCTTTCTGTAATCTGTTCCCAGGAACAAGCAAACTCCAAGAAAGGAGTGTTTCACAGTTTGACCAGCCATACATACAGGCCGGCCACTTTACTGTGTATTTCAGGAGAGAGAGAGGACAGGAGCCTACTCCTCCCACACTGGGGCCTTGCTGAACCAAGATTTTTCTTGTGAAACAAAATGCAGGCCCCAAAATGGGTCAAGTGGTGAATAGTGGGGAATGTTTAATGCCTCCTACATTTGTCTGAATATAGTCCAGACAGATGGCATTGAATAATAGATGTTTTATAAAACTCTGAGATGAGAGATGAAATAAAACACAATCTTACCTTTCTAGACTTCTTGGTTAGTACAGGTGGACTTACATATCCAAGAATCCATATACAAATAACTTTAAAGTTATGTTCATGTTTATAGGTCAGAAACAAGCTTTTCTCTTCCCTCTTCAATACTTTATAGCAGGCCAGATAAAACATAATATATGTCTGGTTACATGTAATTATTTTATCTTTCTGATAAGATATTGAAATTGATTATCATATATAATAAAACTATGCCAGGTAAGTCTAGAAAATGAGATTTTCTAATTTATCAAATATAAATAGAGGGCTATATGTATATGACATATTATCAACTAATTTCCAGTAAGTTCTTCCTAAGGCCAACTCTCTGGTGAATGTACTTAATCTTTGGAGGAGGGTTCAGAAGATGTGATAAGACCTTGAGGTCATAATATTAAACATGAATCATCATTTTTGGAGATGTGATTAAGTGTTGGTTAACATATTGCCCAGAGTATAATCTGATTTCATTAGCTTCTAAAGCACTTCTTGTGATGCTCTGTAAAAAGATTCCCAATATTAATACATAGGACTCTCTTTCCCTAGCATGGACTCATGGGCCAGAATGAATTAGATGGATAATCTGTTCACTGTCCATAGAGCTCTGCTTTGGAGACATGGACAATATACATTCACTCTACACCTGAGGGGACTCTTTCCTTCAAGCAGAAGCCTGTGGTTGGAGGTAGGGGGCGAGCTTTTGTGGCTCTGAGTCTCATTTAGGTAGGAAATGGGAAGGCCCATGTGAAAGGTGAACACATTGCCGGTGTCCGAACAGCGAGGCCACCCGACTGCTGTGCTGGCAGGGACTGAGTTTCACAGCAGCCTCAATCTCTCTTTCTACCACGTGACATTTATTTAGACAGGTTTTGCCATAGTATGAAATCATTTCATGTTTCTCTTTTGCCAAAAGTAACACTCCCTTTGTAATGGGCAAAGGCAAGACAAAGTAGGCCACTTGCCAGCTGCCATCGTCCCAGTTTAGGCTCTTGTTAAAACCTCTTAATGGCCTCCACAGACTCTCCCGCCTCGAATCCATCTGCTCACTCTTCCTAGAGTACCGTTTCCATCACTATCCTGCTTGAAAATCCTGCAGTGGCCAACTCAGGGCCGAACCCTTTAACTCAGTATCAAGGTCCCACACAATCAGAATCAAACCTACGCTGTAGCCGCTCCCACAAACAGATGCTCTGATCTATCTGAATGGGAGTTATTCTCCAGCTAAACTCGATGCTGCCCCAGCTTTCTTTGTAGACGTGCATTTGTCTTTCTATTTAATGATAGTGCCTTAAGGAATGTGCAAAGTCCTTGTAGAATTCAGAGGACAGGGAAAGTACTTCTTGCTGGGGGAGGAGGAGAGAGATGTTCAGGGAAAGATTCAGAGGATAAATTGTATTTTAATTGTGCCTTTAAGAATGTTATTAAGTAGGCCGGGCGTGGTGGCTCAAGCCTGTAATCCCAGCACTTTGGGAGGCCGAGACGGGCGGATCATGAGGTCAGGAGATCGAGACCATCCTGGCTAACACGGTGAAACCCCGTCTCTACTAAAAATACAAGAAAATTAGCCGGGCGAGGTGGCGGGCGCCTGTAGTCCCAGCTACTCGGGAGGCTGAGGCAGGAGAATGGCGTGAACCCGGGGGAGCGGAGCTTGCAGTGAGCCGAGATCGCGCCACTGCACTCCAGCCTGGGGCACACACAGAGCAAGACTCCGCGTCAAAAAAAAAAAAAAAAAAAAAAAAAAAGATTGTTATTAAGTAAATTAAATGATCTCTGTATATAAATGAAGAAACTTAAAATGTATTTATTTGAAAATTGTTTTATCTCCCTTTGAAATAGAATATAACTTTGAAATAAAAAATGCTAAACAAATTACAACTTAGAATATTGTAATAATTCGAGCTCAGGAATTTTACTCTGCACTCTCATTTTATTAAAAATTCTTTTCTTATGAAAAAACAGGTAATCCATTACTAAGCTTTACCTCTCTTAATGTACATTCTAAGATTAAATTTGTTTCAATATAGGCATCTTTGACAGATTTACACATTCTGGTCCTTGGTCAATGGACTCAAATTGACTAATTTACATGCTACCTATCATTTCCCCCCGCCAACCAATTTTTTTTTGTTAACAAGCTATTTGTGAGATGATTAGTAGAGGTTAGGAACAAAGTCTATGACAAAAGAAACCCATGAACCTGTTTCCCTAAGACAAAGGACTAATTTTTTCTTAGGCTATCTTACTTCTATAAAAATTATTGATAATTTTCACTGGTTATTTTATCACACTGAAATAATAAGGTCCATTATATGGTCCATTATATGGTTTCTTTCTTTTTTTTTTTTTCTTTTTTTTTTTTGAGACAGAGTTTCGCTCTTCTTGGCCAGGCTGGAGTGCAATTGCGCGATCTCAGTTCATAGCAAACTCTGCCTCCTGGATTCAAGCGATTCTCCTGCCTCACCCTCCCGAGTAGCTGGGATTACAGGCATGCGCCACCATGCCTGGCTAATTTTGTATTTTTAGTAGAGACAGGGTTTCTCCACGTTGGTCAGGCTGGTCTCGAACGCCCAACCTCAGGTGATCTGCCCACCTCGGCCTCCCAAAGTGCTGGGATTACAGGCATGAGCCACTGCGCCCGGCCTATTATATGGTTTCTAAAGATGACCTGGCTACTTTACATAGCTAGCTCAAGGCTCTATTCAAATCCAGCTCCTCTCTCCAGTGTAGGATTCATCTTAGCTTGAGCTGCTAAGGCAGTATACCATCATGGTTAAATCAAGTTTTCTGGAGTCAGGTTTAAACTCCAGCAAGACCATGTAGAAGCTGTCTGACTTTGGCTGAGGTAGCTAACTTTTGTTTCAGTTTTACCACCTATCAAATGCGGGTGATGATCATTGCACCCATCTCATAAAACTATTGTGAAGAATTGAGTGTCTACATCTATACATAAGTATCTTCTCTTACACAGTATATAATAGAATGTATAATATGATATGTAATATATTACATGAGAGAGACCATTTAGAATCATACCTGGCACATAATAAGAGGTTTATAATAATCATATTATTACTATTAGGTATAATTTGCCTGTTAAGGCCCAAATACCTTAATTGAAACAGAAAAGAGTGCTTAGTAAATTTGTTTATTATATTTTTGTTTCCTTATCTGTTCCTAAAGCTAAACAATCAAAAAACATTTTATATTTCCCAAATATATTTGGATTCTGTCCTGATTTAATCTCAAACCACCAGTCCAAGTTCAGTGAAAACTTTTATTGGTGGCATCTTGATTCAGCCTGAGGATAGAGCGGCTTGTTCAGCTTGGCTCACCATGGGGTAACGTGTAAATTGCACTGGACCTAAGAAGCTGTCATGGGATGTTTAAATCTATCCTCTTTCTTCAATAAATGATTTGTATCTAATTACAAATGCTTATGAGATTTTTAAATATTTGAACTGACAGTCTGAATTGATCAAATTAACAAAAAATCTGTCAAAATCCAACTACATTTTGTGTTAAAGACAGAAAAGAAGGCAGGGTGCTTATCAGTCACTGAACTCTGGAATCATTAGTTCCACTTTGCATTCTATTTGTGTTTATCTTTGTAATCTCATGCTTTGGGCCTAAAACAATAGTCATTGAACCTTTGGTTCACTGAATCTCAAAGCTGAGAGGGACTCCAGGGGCATCTAGTTCTACTCCTCCTTTCACAAATGAGGAAACTGAGATTCATTATGTTTAAATGACTTACATAATCCACATGGGTATGATTCTATTTGAGTTTAAAGAGTGAAATCTTAACAAGATGATAACTTGTCATTTTAGTCATTAACAAGCTCTGGGTTTCCTATGATTGGATGTTAAAAGAATTGCCAAGGTCTTTTGTCGATGCTTTGCTCTTTGAAACCTATTGAAAATACATAAAGAATATCATATCTGGAAATTTGTGTTCACTATAATTTATTTTTTCATGTTTTTCATGTGCAAGCAGACTTGCATCAAGAGCTGCTACAGGATTTCTCTTCATCATTTAAGTGCAATCTAGCAGCAACTACTACATCTGATAAACTGCAAAACACAGAATATAGGATTCTTGAAGCTACTGTCAGGTACTCCTTTAATTATATTTCTTTGGATTAAATTGAAATGAAACTTCAGCTACGCTTGCAATTAAAGAAGTTGAAACTTCAATGTATTTCCTTTTCCATTCACACCCTGCCTGAAAGTGATGTATTTTAGCTTCTGAATATTCCATGCTTCCAACCTCTGCCTCCCTATACACACACACACACACACACACACACACACACAGAGAGAGAGAGAGAGAGAGAGAGAGAGAGAGAGAAACTTGAATATACTTATGGAATCTCTCAAAGTTTTTTTCTACCAAATGGAGCCAAAGAATCACTAGGCTTGAATGATATATATGACACATGGTCAAACATTTATCATGATAAAATAATTTATCCTACAACTCTAAAGTATTTCTTTATCTTGGCTTCTTTTCCTTTCTTAAAAAAGATCTCTAAGTGCCCAAAAGGCTAAACTTACCATATAGAATTTCACTGTAACAAATACTACTATATTATACTTCAAACTTGTATTTTATTTTGAGACAGGGTCTCACTCTGTCACCCAGGCTAGAGTGCCGTGGCACTATCATGGCTCACTGCAGCCTCAACCTCCCTGGGCTCAGGCGATCCTCCCACCTCAGCCTCCCAAGTAGCTGAGACTACAGGTGTATGGCATCATGCTGGCTGTTTTTTTTTTTTCGTATTTTTGTACGGACCAGATTTTACCATGTTGCTCAGGCTGGTCTCCAACTCCTGGGCTCAAGTGATGCTCCTCCCTCGGCCTCCCAGAGTGCTGGGATTACAAGCATGAGGCACTGCACTCAGTCCAAACTTGTTTTCTTATAAAAGCACTTTGTAACAAAGATTGGGTCAAAAATCACTAAACAGATTTCAAGGAGGCAGGACTTAAGACTTGAAAGAAACAGGTATCCAGCTTCCCTATTGAGAGTGAATGATTGAGAAGAGCTTTGGTCCTAATAATGGAAAGATGCAGTCTCTCTCCCTTCTCCCATCCCACATTAAATCATCATCATCATCACCGTCTTCCCAGCTAAGGAACTCATCCTTGCCTGCTCTTTGTTCTGTTTATTTCGAAGCTGGGTTGGCTTTCCTCAGAGGACAGGTTGGCATTTTAAAGGTGGGAGTGAATTACTGAAGAATCGTCCACAGTTGATTGACACCTGCCTCTGCACTGCTGTTCAGCCTCTCCTCCCTCCCCCACTCTCTGCTCTCTCCTGCTCTGTCACAATGCTGAGGGCATAGTCAGCACTGTCACGGGGTTTAACTTTTATTTCTGCATTCCTGTCCACTCACGCCTCTCTTTGTAGAGATGAAACCTGCAGAGCTGGAATTGTGGATTCACTTGAACGTGGAAAGCAGCATGACTCAGCCCTCCCAGCCTGCAGAATGCGGGTTGGGACTGCCATGATCCCCCAACACGATTTCCCCTAGTTTCTTTTATCCCTTGTCATCTTTTATTAGCAGAGCTGATTTTATTTTTAAAAACCCATGAAACAAAACTAAAAACCAAACCAAAATTGTTCTACTGTGAAGGGAGGGCATGCGCAATGAAGTATTTTCCCAGGCGAGGTGAGAGTTTCTGCTCATTCACCCTCACGCTGTCTTCTTGTGGCTAGAAGCACATGTTTGCAAGTTGGGAGGCTAGGGTCAGGAATACAGTCAGCTTGTGACCACAGAGTAGGAAATAGCAGCTGGCTGTCACTACGAAATAGTACATCCATGGTCTCACTGGCACATGCATTAAACCAACAGAGTTAAACGCTCCTCATCAGTTATATCCAGCCTTTGTGAGTTCAGCGGCACCCATGACTCTTCATTCTGGATGGTTTGGCTCTTAGGCCAGTATTGGAGCAGATTGTGAAGTGGGAGCCAAGTGAGTTTGGCAGAACCTAAGACCGAGGTCAAATGATCATAAGAATTATTCAGACCTCAAATATGACACTTAGGCCAAAGGGAAGACTTTCTAAGAGGAGAATTTCTTCCTCCACATAGATGATGGGGTCTGAATGAACCGAATTAAAATAGAGCCAGTTTTGAAGCACCCATGGGTGCGCGTCTACGATTTTTATGTGGCCATTCACAAACCACTGGATACGTAATGCTGTACTAAAAGGAATTTAAGCCTGTCAGGTTAATTACACAATATTAGGTACGAAAACAAACAGTGCAACACAAAACATAGCTACATCATTATTTGCAGTAAATGTTAACTCTAAATAAGTGCAACCTGTCTGTAAATGCTTGCTATAAACTAATTAAAAAAATAAAATTTGATGGATAAACATGAAAAAAAAATTCTCACCGAGAATTTTTTTTTTAAATATCAGCACTCATTTAGAGTTTGGGATTTGTGAAAGAAAGCTTTAAAAGGAGCAAACCTGATTGGCTGTGGCTGTTGCTGCGAAGGGGACACTTGTTGCAGGAGTTGTTGCTGCAGAGACAGTGGCGGACGTAGCGCTGTGCATCATGGGTACTTTCAGGAGGGGAACCATGGGAGCAATGAACAGGAGGGTGTAGCATTATGGTAATAGAAGTGGTATTTTGGCATGGTGAATATCAGAGCAGCAAGCCATCATGGGTTAAACCAGCAGATGGCATGCAATCACAATGCAAAGCAAGGAAGCATGGGAGAGAAATAAAAAAGGGAAAATAGCTTATTACAAGTACAATTAAAGGAAGTTTTAAAACATAATCAGTGATTCCCAGAAAGGCCAAAGCAGATTACTTTGGTTGATGTATTTATAAACATTTTACTTCTAACAATAGATCCATTCCCAATTCAGAGTATACGGTGTATGTAATAATGGTTGTTTCTAAAATTGTGAAAGGTGATGTCTGATGAAGCAAGAATATGTGATCATCACTTTTAATCATAAATTCTGAGACATCCAAGTCTCCATATGGAGGCCTAATTTGGGATAGGATGTTCTTTGGAATTATGGTGAAATTGAATTTTTTTTTTTCAATTTGGAACTGCTTACATGAAATGGAACTGCTGTGGGTTGTGGTTTATTTGAATCAATAAACGATGGAGCAAACATCATAGCCTTGATGCAAATTCTAACACAGTTACTCTGAAATAGCCAGACAAAATTTGCAATGTTTCTTTTTCTTGACTCTAAATAGATCTAATCCACATGTCTTAAAGACAGACGTTTGTACCAAGGCATTCATGTGTGTGAAGACAACTATCTGCTATTAAAATTGAATGGCTAAGGGAATGCTGAGGTCCAGAAAAATCATGCCAAATAAATCAACACTTAAAATTAGAAAAGATAATTAAGTTAAGAAGCTCAGACATTCAGTTTCAAAATACATCCATTTATAATTTGTAAAAAATGAATACTTCTGGGAAACTCTGATCGCTCTAACACACAGCAAAGAGGAGATAAAGGCACACCACTATGAAACTTTCAAACATTGATGAAATTAGCCTGCCTCGCTGATAGAGTAAGCTCTGTTCCTTACGCTATACCATATAAACTATAAAGAGAAACAAAACACAAATCATTAAAAAGCAGACTCGTACTTGTGGCTTTATGTTTTTGTAGTGATTGTTCTAGCACAAGAGGTCACATTAAAACCGTCATTTTCTTAAATATACAAGTACATTTTTAAAAACCTATATGTTAACTCTAAAGCCAAATAAGCCTTCAAATCTACTATTTCCTGTAGCATTTCTACCATCTCTGAAATAAATTTCAAGCAAGTGAAGGTATTGTACATCATATAAAAGACAAATAAAAAAGGTTGAAACCTACCAATACTGGTAGCGGGTGTCATGCACAAAACTGACCCTGATGTCATGCAATGGTGGGTGGAAAAAGTGAATAAAGGGAAAGAAACAGGTTAGCGGTTTAGAGTTAACATTCAAAGTGAGATTGAAGCACAACCAGAAATAAGTAGGGTTAGTTAACACAGTCTTTTAGGGCCATTCACATTGTCAGTACAGACACAAATATATCAGACTTATTTTAAGCCAATATTATTCCAAGCTCACTCCTTAGACCACTGTCCACACTTTCTATTCATATGCATCGACATGATTCTAATAAGAATGACATGTGATAATGCTGTGGTGTCCTTCCTCTAAAACCTCAAAGTATTTTACAGACATTATCAAGTTAATCCTCCAATGTAGGAAGCAGGTATTTTACAGATGAAAAATCTGAGGCATAGTAACTCCTCCAAGGTCATGCATGGTGTGGGTCAAGGGGAAGGGTAGAAATAGAATTCTCTTCCTAAATCCAGGTCATCTTTTATATTCACTAGAATACACTGAACTTCCTGCATTAAAAGTTTACTTGTTTGTTTGACTGTAAATGTTTTGTGTCAACAATGGTATGAAAATAAGAACAGTATTTAAGATTTAAGATATTCTCCAAATCAGAAACTTGCAGGGCAGGATGGGTGAATTTTAGATTACTGCTTGAAAGCCTAATCACCTAGGAAGACTGAGGTTCTTACAGGGAATGACCTGTATGAGCACATGGTCTTCTCTCTGTTGTAAGATTCATTGTGATAAAGGAGTAGTGCCTGGCAATAAAGCCTAAACACTGTAGAGGCAAAATAGTGCAGAGTTGCAGCTGAGTTAGGACCGGGGCTTAGGAATTTTGTCATGACTACTACAGGGTGATCCCTGAGGAGGATTTCTGGCAAAACTAGGAAATCTCAAGTTGGTGTCTGAGTGGGGAGGTAGGAGGTGGGAGGGGCGATTTCAACCCTTTCTTAGAAATAGCTGTCTTACTTGTGGTGGTCATAATTATCATACACGCATCAGGAAACTCTGACCATGAATATTATATTCATGCATGTTGTGGAGAACTGAAAGAAAACTGTATTGAAAGCTTTGGGGAATTATCTGCTACTGGTTCAGTTCCATGAAAAAAAAGTAATACATGGATTTAGATCATTGAAGACTGGGTGTCATGTAGGTGCCTGAGAAGTAGTTTCTTGTGAATATAGGAATGTCCTCTTAGAGTTTCAGAACTGACTTCTGAGATCTTAGTTGGAGAATTTGAGATGTGTAGATCTTTATTCTCTGTGGAGCTGTTCACGCTGGAGGGCAACTTTTTGCCTGAACTACATTTTGATCGAGCTAACATGACCTAGTCAGGAAAGGGGGCTATTTAACTGGGCTACAGCCATAGTCTTCAACAAATGTGGGCCAATACATCCAACTTAAACCTTTCTCCAGCCCTATTCTCTCATCTTCACAATCAAACTTCTGGAAATCTACCTGCACATAAATGTTTACTTCCCTATCCCTACTGAGTCTTCATTCCTCTTCAATTTGGCTTTCATTTGACCTCTGCACTTAAATTGTGAATGCCAATCACCAGGAAAATCCCATATTGCTGCAGCCAGCAGGAACTCTCCCATCCTCACCTCACTGTTCCTGATTCTTAGCAGCATTCAGCACTCTGCCCTTCCCTCCATCGGAAGCCACTGTCTTCCCTTAGATTTTTGATCACACACACACACACACACACACACACACACACACTTTTCTTTCTGGCAAGTCCCTTTGTCTACTTTGCTGAACGACCTTCCTTCCCTGAACTCACTCTCTCTATGCTGGAGTTCCTCAGGACTCAATCATGGATCCTTTTCATCTATGCTGCATTTCCTGTGGTGTATCGTTCACTTCGTGGGTTTGGATTCCAGGAGCTTCCATATTTGTGTATCCCACGCAGATTTCTTCTCAAAGTTCCAGGTCCTTTCCTCTAAATGCCCCCCTCACCTCTCTGCTTGGATGTCTCATAAGTGTATCAAATGGAACAGGACCGAACTTTGATCTTTTCACAGAAACTTTCTACACCTCGGTCTATGGCCACACCACCCTGAAAGCGCCTGATCTTATCTGATCTCAGAAGCTAAGCAGGGTCGGGCCTGGTTAGGACTTGGATGGGAGAGACTTTCTACACCTCAGGAGATACCTGATGGGCATCACCATCTAAGTAGAGCTCTAGTCTGAACTGAAAGTTAGGCCTGATACCCCTTCCCCTTGTGAACTTCCCAGGTCCAGCTCACCAATCAGCCAACGCAATCCTGCTTCTAGCATGCAGCTTGCAGTCATCTGTTTGTCCGTCACAACTGCCACATCTGAAGTCCTGGTCACCATTATCTCTAGGCTGGCCTATGTGATAACATCCTACGTGGTCTTCCTGCTTCCATTCTCGTCCCTCCTTAGTTCATTCTCCAGCTGCTGGCAGAGTAGATCTTTCCAAATGCAGGCCTGGCCACTCCTCCGCTGGAAACCATTCAGTGGTTTCTCATTGCTTTTAGGATAAAGGTCCCCTGTGGTCTAGTCTCTGACTACCTCCCCAGGCCCTCCTACACCTCTCTTCCCTGGCACCATGATACAGACAGATTAATTTTCTTTTCTTTGAACTGAACACATTACACATTTGTCCTATTTTTGAGCTTCCCACAAGCTGTCCCCTTGGCCTAGAATAATCTTCACCTCACTTTTTTCATCTTCCAGATCTCAGGGTATATGTCACTTCTTTAGAAAATGCTCAGTTGTTATTTTACCTACCTCCCCATGCCATCAAGTCAGTTTCTATTTTTAATCTCACTGAACTCTACTTTTTCATTCATAGTACAGGTTGAGCATTCCAAGTCTGAAAATCTGAATCCAAAACGCTCTAAAATCCGAAACTTTTCAAGTGCTAACATGCCCCTCAAAGAAAATGCTTCTTGGAGCATTTCAGATTTCAGATTTTCAAATTTGGGGTGCTCAACTAGTTAATGTAATCCAAATATTCTAAAATCCGAAAAAAAAAAAAATCCAAAATCTGAAATATTTCTGGTCCCAAGCATTTTGGATCAAGGGGTACTCAACCTGTACTCATAAAAAAAATGGCTGAGCACGGTGGCTCACACCTGTAATCCAAAAACTTTGGGAGGCCGAGGCGGGTGGATCACCTGAGGTCAGGAGTTCAAGACCAGCCTGCCCAACATGGCGAAACCCCATCTTTACTAAAAATACAAAAATTAGCTGGGTGTGGTGGTGCGTGCCTGTAATCCCAGCTACTCAGGAGGCTGAGGCAGGAGAATCACTTGAACCCAGGAGGTGGAGGTTGCAGTGAGCAAAGATCGCACCACTGCACTCCAGCCTGGGCTACAGTGCAAGACTCCATCTCAAAATAAATAAAAAATAAATAAATAAATAAATAAATTCTAATTGTATTTTCTATGGATATTTGTTGAACATTGACCTTTCCCCCTTTCTTGTAAACTCTGGGAGAGCAGAGATCTTGTCTGTCTAGGTCTATGGGGCACATAGTAGGTGGTCAATGTGTTGAATGAATGTTCTCTGCCATTAGTAAGAAGTGTGCTGGGAGTGATTTGTTTCTAAAATTTAATAAAATACCCAGTTTGTGAGTTGCTCCGTTTTAGAGTCAACCATGGATGGATTCAAAGTTACACCTGGCCGGGTGCAGTGGCTCACGCCTGTAATCCCAGCACCTTGGAAGGCCGAGGCGGGTGGATCAAAAGGTCAAGGAGATCAAGAATGGTCTGGCCAAGATGGTAAAACCCTGTCTCTACGAAAAATACAAAAAAATTAGGCGGGTGCGATGGCAGATGCCTGTAACCTCAGCTACTCAGGAGGCTGAGGCAAGAGAATCGCTTGAACCTGGGAGGCGGAAGTTGCAGTGAGCCAAGATCACGCCACTGCACTCCAGCCTGGGTGACAGAGTAAGACTCTGTCTCCAAAAAAAAAAAAAAAAAGTTACACCTATAAAAATGCCCTCTTATTTTTCTTTCATTCAAATGTGGAGCGGAGGGTCTCTTGGAGAGCTTTGCTGTGCCATGCATGTGAATACCAATGGTACTGCAAATAATCCACAGCTCCCACAGCTGCACTGGGCTAGGATCAGTCATGTCACTTTGGCTTCAGTCCTGGATGTGGCTGAAATCCTTAACCAAATTAATTCCATGAGCCTCTCTCTCTAAGTGGCCTAATAATGCTGTGAATATTGGAAATGCATAGCTTATGCATGTGTGGCTCCCTTACTCAATGCCACATCTCTGCCTTTCTATAACACTCCCATCCTCTACTCTCTGCATACACCCTGTATATACTTTATGTCATAGTTATGATGGACAATTTTCTATTCTTCAAGTACACTCTTCCCACGTCCCAAATGGGATGCTTTTCCCCCTCTGATAAAATCTTGCTTCTCTTTCAAACTCCTAGGCAAACTTCTCCTACTTCGGAAAGTCTTCTTTCTCCATATCCTTCGTAACCACCACCTGGTGCACATGCTGGAGGCATAATTCATTGTCCCCTCTCCTTCACTCTTGAATAGCTTTGCCCAGACCTTCAGGTACTGTTTCATCCTCTGCATAATATTTGGTTTTCACATCATTATGAACTCTTTTGTATTCTCATTACTGGCTCTGGAACCCAGAACATAGTACGGGTTCAAGGTATGTTTGCTGAATTGAATGGAATAAATTTTGTTGTGCTTATGCAGATATAGATGCCACTAAACACTGATCAATGTTTCACCAAGTCATGTGACAATCTGATGTAACATTTACACATTTCTCATCATTAGGCCATATCTGGACACTGTCCCCTGTTCTACTTATTCTGTACTTTCAATGTAATGAAATAAATCAAGGAAGGATTCTGTGGGTTGCCTTTGTTCTGATCAGTTGAAGCATTTCACTAAGGCACCAATTCTATGAACAAAGACTTCTCAAATGTTTTCTGCTTCAGTTGCACAAATATTTCAGCTGTCATATCTGTGAGCCAGAATTATCTGGGTAGTTCCGTTAATTATGTATTCCACTTTGCAGTGTAGACACAGCCTCAGTTTTTCCATCTGCAAAATGCAAATAACCATGCCTGCCACTGACAGAACTGCAACATCTTGAAGAATAATGAGATAATGTCTATAAGAACATTTACAGTAACTTAGAATAAACCTGTCAGAGAAATGCCAAGAATTATTATGCTGCTATTTTTGTAAGTGTGTGTGGTTTTGCCACTTTCCTAACATAGAAAAGAAAAAGTCTAACTACTTGGTTAAAATAATCCCAATCAAAAAAGAAAAAAAAAAAAAGAAAACTTCCACCCGCGGCAAATGTACTAGGGCATCAACTAGGGCAATAATGATCTTAGCATGGTTTGGGAGAAGACTCTCATATTTTGCATAACATTTTATATTAATATCTTTGCAAACTGGAGGCAGAATTCCCAAAATCCAAATTCACATTGTGTCAATGGGAGAATTTTAGTATCATATCAAAAGCTTTAACTATGAATGGTTTTTGATCAAGGGCAACCTTCAGGAAAACACAAAATACTTTTTTGTTTTATATTTATGTTTATGTAAAACATTTATAGAAAAATCAAAATCTGTTCATTTAAAAGTAGTGGGTCCTCTATGTACCAAGTTGTAAGAATTATTTTTGAACATCTTCACTTGATTTGCAGAGGTTTCAAATCAACAATGATGAACAATGAGTGATTATCATCTTTATCATTTTAGAAATAAAGTTGAAAATGTGGCTTATAAGAAAGAAAATCAGAAGCAAAACCTTGAGCTATAATGAACAATAAAATTCCTGGTACGGGTTTAAGTGGGTTAAAGATTATTTTAATTTCCTTTTAATAAAATTATTTTCTCTTTCCTCATTTAAGAGAAATGTGAAAATTCTTAGCAGTTGAAATACCATTTCAGAACACTAGATCCACATGTTTGTTCACTCTGATATTCATGTCTTGTAAGAAATGGAAACCCTTCTAGTCACTGTATTGGTGTGCCAGGACCCACTTTTTGGCTTCCAAAGCCCACTGTATTGAGGGTTGCCAGACACACTTAAGCTGTTCCTAAAGAATCCACCAGAGGGCGGAAGTACACAACCACAGCAGCCAATGCAGCCGCATGGGTCCTTCACGCAATACATTTCATCAACAAAAATCAGGTCATTGCATAAGGGATGTTGTTTATCCTTGCTTTGGAAATGTTTAAAAGGCTTCCAGGTGAAATATTTTAAACTGATGATTCTTTCAGTGATTTAACAAATCAGTCATTATTGGGTTGGAGAATTAAACATGTGCTGGAGGGCTTCCGGGTCTTTTGGCAGGCTTAGCACCAGAGCTCCATAGGTATTCCCAGGACATGGTAATGGCAGTAACATCCATTCTTCAGAAACAGGCTTCTCCTTTTACATTTTTCCCCTCGGTATATTCTTCCTTAATTTTTTTTTTTTATCATAAAATATCTAGTGGCCAAGAGGTCTATAATGAGACACTTTGTAGAAACCACACAGGACATTAACGTAAGTTTACCTTCTAGTAATTATTTTACAAATGTGTTATCTCAAGTAGATTACATGTTAAAACACTGCTATGCTGTAACAGCACTGGGATGTCACTAATTAAAGCTGTAATAGGGCAAGAGTGAACCCCTAATAAATACTGCATTAGAGATTTCTTCTACAAGTCTGTGAATTTAAGATAGGTTCAAAACTAAAATAAGAAAAGTAAACACTGAAAAACCACTTTGCTCACATAATTTATATCTTAACTAAAATATGTATTGTTCACAGGTTACTAATCCATTTCAAAGTGTAGATTTTATACAAAGAATATCACAGAAATATTTTACCTCCCTCTGATGTTAACTCTGATAAGCTATGGGATTTAAGGAAATGGATAATAAGCTGGAAAAGTTCAAACTTATGGATTTGAATCAAAAACCTCTTTTTGTTAGAATTGTTATTCATTTATATTTACCTTCATTTCACTGTTGTGGGCTGAAGAATTTTGACTCACAAAGAACTCAATGGATGGTCTTCCCACCAGGGCTTACGTTATCCCCTGCTTCTAACATTGACTATAAGGTGAAAACCGAAGTCAATTACAGTGACTATCTTTGCATATGGTGTGCGTGTGTGTATCTGTGGTTAGAGATGTCGGTGCAAATAGGGGAGGGATGACATGCTTTATACTTTTGTTTTTTTACTTTTATCTGACTTTTTGGGGTCATTTATTCAAAAATTCACTTTTATCTGCTCTTTTCTTTTTTCAGGAGAACTCTGTGGTATGTGTATATAGAGGCAGGTCTGGGTGGTAGAATGTGATGTAAATGGAGTTGGTCACAGGGAAACTCAGTTCTTTTTCTCATTAGTTGTGGCACCTTGGAAAGTCACTTCTCATTTAGGGGGCCTCAGTTTTCTCATCTGTAAAACAATCATCTGGATGAGGAGATCACTAAGAGTCCTTTAAACTCTAAGATTCTATGACTATTACAATGGATCTTTTAGTGGAATCATAGTTAATGCACATGGTACGTAATAGTATCAGGCATTGGCTTAGACACTGAGGATAAGAGCTCTATATACTTGTGAACTTGGTGAAAGTTGAGAAGGATGGAGAAAGAGATAGAATGGATATAAAAATATGAGTAGAGAATTGCTTTAATTTGAATAGTCTCATTGTTTTAGTGCTCTGAATAGAAATAGAAAAAAATGGTTAGTATTTACTGGAATTGCTATTTTTTAGGTCATTCACAGTTAACGACAAATTTCAACTGTCACACATAAAAGGTCTTATTTACATAAACAATTTGACAGGGCTTGTGTGACTACGAGAAACCAAAAGCCCTAACTGCTCTCTGTTTCTCATGGGTTAAATCTGTCTTTTCAATCTACCAAATATTTGGCTTTAGAATCCTAACAGTCTTTAGCTATCATTCAAAGTAAGGTAAATACATTTAGATAGCTAGGACAACGATGAATTTCAAACTGTATTATACCTTCAAAAGCAAACTAGATGCCACCAAACAGCTTAAAGAAATGAGAAGAAAGCACATGACCAGAAGGGCACAGGACATAGGGCAGTAAGGGCACATACCTGTTGGAATGAACGCGGCGTGTTGCTGCAACTGTGCGCTGGTGAGAGCCTGCTGGTAGTGCAAGACGCTGGGGTTAAAGACCGCACTGGTACCATTGCTTTTTTCAAGTGCTTGTCTCTTTGGTAAAGGATGAAGAGCACCAGGGGGAAAGGCCTAGAAATGAAGAATTCGATAAGATATGTCTAACTTAAAGCAAACACAACTTCCGTGTTCATAGAGATCATCAATTGCAACATTCTTTTTAAAAATGACAGCTAAGGAGATGCCTCTGCCATGCACCTTAATTTAAACAGCGGCAATGTCGAATGAGTGAGAATTTGTTATTGAGAGCGAAAGCATGATTTCTGTAACCCAAAACGGTAGCATCTCAACTAAGGAAAAGAAAAACTATCAAGCAACAACAACAACAAAAAAATGGCTTCAGCTTTTAAAATGAGTTAAACTATTCTAAGGGGGAGGAAGCATTGGTGTTATTATTAATACCTATTCTTTTATTTAACTAAATGGCAATTTCTTGAATTTAAAGGTTAATAAGAATTATAATGAACATTTTCTGAGTCAAATAATTTAAATTTGCTTCACTCTTTTGGAAAAGGTATTAAAATTTGTTAGGATTAATTTATTTCACAGATTACGTATGAGAATGAGATGGCTAAACACCTTATTGGATTTTTTCCATAAATTAATAATAATGATTGTTCGCAACCAATATTTTACAAGTAATACAAATCTCAGATGGTTCTCTGAAAAGCTACATGCAAAGCGAAAGGTGAAAGGTCAAAGTACCAGGTCTACAGTTGCTTCGAGAGGTCGCTTCATTGCTTTGGCAGTCGACTGAGTCTTTTAATAACAGGCAGCGAGCACATGATGGCAGTGGGCCAATGGGATTCAAGCGAATTAACATACAGGTAAACAGCAAGCAGAGGTGCATCATGGGAACGGCATTGCATTGTGGATAGGTGAGAAGGAAAAAAATATTCTGAATGCAATATACAACGTACAAAACACTAGGCATGCACAACAACAAAAATGTTCTCTAAAGAAATGAATATTACACCTTAAATTAGTATTGAAGCAAAAATGCATCTACTATACCTTAGTTAAAAGCATATAAGAGAGTAAAATATAGATGTTTGAAATTCAGGAAAGTTAATTAAAACAGCAGCTTGCATACACACCATAAGCATTTTTTATATTGCTTCAGAAAAAAATGCAAAATTTGTAAGGGCCATAGGATCGAAGAACTTCTGATAAGTTAGTTTTCAAATATGAAACAATGAATCCATTGAGTAAGGATAAGACCCAAGTTGAAATTTTTCATAAAAATAATTTAAAATTCATAGCTAGCCTAACAAAATGAAGTGGCGAACTGAGACAAAAAATTCAGGCAAAAAAATATTCAAACACAAGATTATTTAGGCGAAACTGTTGGGTTTGGATCTTTATTTTTTGTCTGAATCATGTGGATAATTGTCTCAATTCTTGTCTTCACTCTGCTAGTGTGAGTCTTGTCATGTGGACTAAAGTTCCAAATTTAGTGTCTTGAATTTAAATAGTGAGTTTCCAGAATTCCCCACTTTTATTCCATCATCCTGTTTCTAACAACCAACTTATCATCCATTCTGTTTTCTACTACATTTGAAATGTTCATTTCATTTATCTCAAACAACTTACCGGATTATACTAAGAAAATACCCTTTAAAAGGTATTTAGTGTCCCCCGGTATCAAAATAATTTCTATTTAGTAATTCTATTTGTACTTTTAGCTACAGTCAGTGAGCAACCCCATTAATGAAAAGTGGAACTCTTGGAAAGAACACATACAACAGCTAAAAATAGCAAACAGCTAAAAATAATAGCAAAGAACTGCTTGAAAGATTAGAAGTAAAATAATATCTTTAACTTAGAACCATAATTTTGGGAAGACAGTTTCATTTAAACAACTGAAATAAAAACAAATATGGATTGATTTAGACCACGATGAAAAATTTTCCTATTCTTTGTTAATTGTTGTAAAAAAAAAAACAAAATTAAAAATTCTATGATGGAATTCTATGCAAATAAATAATTCAAAGGAATTGCTCCAATGCAAATAAAAAATGAAATACCCTTTTCTATGTTTAGCACAATAGGTAAATCCCTAAGGTTTGTCTAATAAATACAAATATTATATTCCAAAGTTTTGAAATAGAACTTTGTCATTTGACATGAGATAGTACTAAACCTTTAAAATGGGAAACAGTTAATGACATTTTCCTGGATAAAGGATGTTTATTATTGTTTTATAATTCAGGATAAAAAGTATGGAGATAATAGGGGAGAGCTGTGGAGGGGAAGAGACTAGAAATAAAGTAGAAAGAACTACAGGCAGAGAAGAGATTTAGAATGGCCAATGGAGAAGAAAATGTTTTGGAAGGTAGTTTTGATCAGGGTCATCGAATAACATGAAATCAATGTTGTGAAAGTACAATTGTGAACATTAAAAACAATGAGCTGACAAAACTTCTGTGTACTGGATATTCTTTCCTTGCATGTAACTTTGACATCATGTAACTTCCATAATGCCATTTTTGTTTCAAATCTTCCATCCTTGCACAGCTTTGCATTGTTAAGCAGTGCAGGGTTTTCTTTTGTTTTGTTTTTCGAGCTTCAGTTAATTTGCGTCAGCTGAAGAAGGTTACAAAGCCTATTCTCATGGAACACATTGAGAACGTGAACTGGATCGTTAAACTCAAAATCATTTTGGCCTTAACTTTCTGGACTCAATTTTTCCCTTCCCGTTTGCAATCCTAAGTATTTACAGAATGAATCCACTAATGGGTTGATCTTTTCCGACATGTTAACTAGAAGAGCGATTGTGTCTCCAAAGGCTGATATTCATGAACAAAAATTTGACTTAACAAGGAACCATTTAATGAAGTCTCCAAGTACAATGAAAAATAATAAACATTTCCCTTTAGGATTGTCACCTGGAAGGTTAATGTTCTTCTTCTGGTCTTAGTGTGATGAAACTTAATTTCCATAGAATTTAGAATAATCTAGGAATGTAAAAAAACTGAGAACACTAGAGTGAGCAGGACAGTGACATGTATCTCTTTCTATCACTCCATGGCATGAGTTTTCTTTATTAGAGGCAGATCTCTCCTTTTTAAGTAAACACTGAGGTCTTGGAGGGTGGGGTGTGCATATTAACATGCTGTTCATCTCACACGGTGAAGCAGGTATGTGGAGAATGTATTTTAAAAATCCATGTGGATGAATAATCATGTTATAATGTACCATTTTCATATACAGATGCTCAGTTTTCAGTGATTTTGACTGCTGGCATATGTTTACCTACATTGAAAGATCTTCAGGCTTAGAACAGATCTCATAGATCACCAAGCCCAGTGTATCCTAAGATCCTCCTTAAGCACCAAGACAGTTAATTGAGTCCTCACTATGTATCAGCCACTTGGAATCCATCTGGCTGGCATCACCAACATTCTGAGCCTTTGCTTCTCTGGGCCTCTCCAGTTTGGTGAGCATGGGTGATGAGTCAGAGGAGGTCCTATGGGCAGTTAGGCTTTTATTTTTTTGAATTGAGGACCAATCCACCTGCAAGTCAAGGTAATCGAACCAACTGCCCACATCAGGCATGATAGGCAAAGACCAAATCTGAGGGGTCAGAAAACACTGACAACAATGATCAGAGCTGTCACTTTAAAGTAGGAAAGAAAGTAGACAAGTAGGATGCCAATCAAAGTTCCTGTACAGACTTTCCTCAACAATCAAAACATATCTAGCTGATGGCCGCTTGTCCTGTTTCCTTTTGCAAAATGGTTCTTTCCTTGTGTCACTCCATTTTGGTGTATGTGAACAAAGATTGCTTGTATGAAGATCAGACACCTTTTGTGTTAACACTACCGAAGAAAAGTTCTGTCTGGCTTATTCTCATGTTTAAAAAATTCTGGTGATTGTGATGGTTATGTTTTAAGAAGTATTTAAAAGAATAAGACTCTAAAGGAACTAAATGTCTTTTATTCTGGAGTCAAAACTTTCCATTCTTTTTAAGCATCTAATTAAAATAAGTGGGAAATCTCCAGACAATAATAAAAATTGTACCCTGGAAATGCTTGGGGTTTATATATGGAAGTCATGGATGGAATATTAATATCTTCTAACTGCATTCATCACTCCTGTTTGTCCTTTTAAATAAGGAAATAAAATAATAGCTTTTCTTTCATGAACTGAGTAATTTTGCCATTAGAGTAGCAATACTTTGACTTTATCCAACAGCACCTAGGCTGGTTTCAAATGAGCGTCTCACTTCAACTAAAAACACATGACAGATTCAGTAATTTTCATGTCATTGTCAGAAAGAACCTGGCTTTTGTTCTGAAACTACATTCCTTTGGGTTGTCTTTGACGATGCTGCAAGATCCTCTGACTTATCAGAACTCCAAATTTGGGCACGGTGTAACAATCCAAGAAACTATGGTAACTAACACTGTTGGCATCCACTGCAATAATCTTTATGCAGCTTGAGGAATGTAACCATGAATGTAATGTGAAAATGTGTACAAGGGTACACAGAAGAGTACAGCTTTGACTTGAAGAAATGCAGCAGGGAAATGACCTGTTTGTGTAAATGGCCATTTTCCCTCTTATCCCCATCAGCCCAGGTCATCTACCACTGACATATACTAGGTACATTGTTCCTTTAATGACTGAAGTATATATTGGTTGCAGATGTTAGAAATGGTCCATTGAGAAAACAGGCAGATGAAATCAGGGCTCAGCCCTAAGGTCATTATTAGTACCTTGATATGTTGTGTTAATAAGTACAGGCATAGGTTGTTTTATTGCACTTTGTTATATGGTACTTCGCAGATACTTCAGTTTTTTAAAATTGAAGGTTTGTGGCAACCCTATGTTAAGTCTATCAGTGTCATTTTTCCAACAGCATGTGATAACTTTGTGTCTTTGTCACATTTTGGTAATTCTCACAATATCTTAACATTTAATGTTATTATATCTCTTATGATGATTTGTGATCAGTGATGTTTGATGTTACTATTTTAATTGTTTTGGGGCACCATGAACCATGCCGCGAACTTAATTGATAAATGTCATGCATGGTTTGACTGCTCCACTCACTGGCTATCACCCCTCTCTCTCCTTCCTCAGGCCTCCCTATTCTCTGAGACAAAATTATATTGAAATTAGGCAATTAATAACTTTAAATGGCCTCTAAGTGTTCAAGTGAAAGAAAGAGACACACATTATTACTTAAAATACATACTCCATATTGGAGCTAGAAATGATTAAGCTTAGTGAGGAAGGCATATCGAAAGCCAAGATATGCTAAAAGCTACACTTCTTGTGCCAAGGTTATCCATGTTGTGACTGCAAAGGGAAAGTTCTTGAAGGAAATTAAAAGTGCTACTCCAGTGAACATACAAATGATAAGAGAGCAAAATAGCCTTATTGCCGATGTGGAAAAAATTTTAGTGGGCTGGACAGATCTAACCAGCCATAGCATTCCCTTAAACCAATGCCTTATTTATTTATTTATTTATTTATTTATTTATTTATTTATTTTCTTGAGGCAGAGTCTCACTCTGTCACCCAGGCTGGAGTGCAGTGGCACGATCTCAGTTCGCTGCAACCTCTGCCTTCAAAGGTTCAAGCGATTCTCATGCCTCAGCTCTTCGAGTAGCTAGAATGATAGCCGTGTGCCACCATGCCCAGCTAATTTTTGTATTTTTAGTAGAGATGGGGTTTCACCATGTTGGCCAGGCTGGTCTCAAACTCCTGGCTTCCAGTGATCCACCCACCTCTGCCCCACAAAGTGCTGGGATTACAGGCAGGAGCCACTATGCTGGCTGAAAACCTAACTTAGAGCAAGGTCCTGACTCTCCTCAATTCTATGAAGCCTGAAAGGAGAGAGGAAGATACAAAAGAACAGTTGGAAGCTAGCGGAGATTGGTTCACGAGGTTGAAGCAAACAAGCCGTCTCTATAACATAAAAGTGCATGGTGAGCAGCAAGGGCTGATGGAGAAGCTGCAGCAAGTTATTCAGAAAATCTAGCTAAGATCACTGATGAAGGTGGCCACACTAAAGAACAGATGTCAATGTAGACAAAAAAGCCAGATATTGGAAGATGTCAACTAGGACTTTCAGAGCTACAGAGTAGTCAAGACTGGCTTCAAACCTTCAAAGTACAGCAGCCAACTCTTGCTAGAAGCTAATGCAGCTGGTGAATTTAAGTTGAATGCTCATTTACCATTCTGAAAATTCTAGGACCTTTATGAATTATGCTAAATTTACTCTGCCTATGCTCTAGAAATGAAACAACAAAGCCTGGATGACAGTATATGTATTGACAACATGGTTTACTGAATGTTTTAAGCCCACAGTTGAGACCTACTGCTCAGAAAAAAAAGATTTGTTTCAAAATTATTACTGTTCATTGACAATGTACCTCATCACCCAAGGAGTCTGGTGGAGATGTACAAGGAGATTCATGTTGTTTTCATGCCTGCTAACACAACAGCTATTCTGCAGCCCATGGATCAAGGAGTTGAACTGTCAAGTCTTATTAATTAAGAAATAAATTTTGTAGGACCGTAGCTGCAATAGATAGTGATTTCTCTGATGGATCTGGGCAAAGTAAACTGAAAACCTGTAAAGGATTCACCATTCTAGATGCCATTAAGAATATTCATGATTCATGGAAGATCAAAATATCAACATGAACAGGAGTTTGAAAGAAGTTAATTCCAATCCTCGTGGAAGACTTTGAGGGGTTCAAGACTTAAATGGAGAAAGTAACTGCAGATATAATGGAAATAGCAAGAGAACTAGAATTCTTAATAGAAGTAGAGCCTGAAGATGTGAGTGAATTGCTACAATTTCATGATAAAACTTTAATGGCTGAGGAGTTGCTTCATGGAGCAGCAAAGAAAGTAGTTTCTTGAGATGGGTTCTACTCTTGGCTAAGATGCTGTGAACATTGTTGAAATGACACCAAAGGATTTAGCAAAGTGTATAAACTTAGTTGACAAAGTAGCAGCAGGGTTTTAGAGGATTGACTCCAATTTTGAAAGAAGTTCTACTCTGGGCAAAATGCTATCAAATAACATTGCATGTTACAGAGAAATCTTTCATAAAAGGAAGAGTCAATCAATGTGGGAAAGTTCATTGTTGTCTTATTTTTAAGAAATTACTACAGTCATCACAACTTTCACCAATCACCACCCTGATCAGTCAGCAGCCATCAACATCAAGGCAACATCAAGGCAACATCTTCTACCAGCAAAAATATACGACTCACTAAAACCTCAGATTGTTGGTTAGCATTTTTTAAGCAATATTTTAAAATTAAGGTGTGTATATATTCTTTAGACATAATGTTCTTGCACATTTAATAGACCACAGTATAGTGTAAACATAACTTTTATACGCACTGGGAAACCAAAACATTCATGTGATTTGTTCTGTTGTGATACTCGCTTCA